CCAGCCCCAGCCGAGCCCTGGGAGCCAGGGTGGCCTGCCCTCCCCATGCATCGAAGACCCTCATTCTCTTCCCCTCTGTTCCCTCTTTCCTCCGGGCCTGGGATTCCTATAGAGAGATGTACAGGAAAGTCAGCTAGGTCCTGCCTGGAGCAGCCCCCCCGCCTGCTCTGTGTGTCCAGCTCCCCTCCTCTAATGGGGACGAGGGGGAGAAAAGCCATGGGATGTGCCTGCCCTTCCCCACAGCGGAGCTGGGCAGGGCTGATTCGTCACTTGTTCAGGTCTATTAAAGTGCCTGGAGCTTCAAGGCCAGCACAGGTGATTGAAAAGGTGAACGACTGTCCCCATCCAACCGAGCCTGTCAGACCCCGGAGGGCACGGCCTCAGCGAGCCGGCGCAGCACCCACAGATGACAGGCAAGGGGAAGGTGGTAGTTTCTGCAATGAGCACCAAACAGGATGGTGGCAGGGGGTTGAGGGAAATAAATATAGCTCAATAGCAGGGAGATTCATTTTCCTTTACATTTTACACAAGAGGAGGGGGGGAAGCAATTGAGGGCAACTGATTCTGACCAGAAACCTCCTCACAAAGAGCCTTTAAACCGGGTCAGACCTCCCTGCGGGTGCCAGGGGTTCCACTCCACCTCTCCTATCCATCCTGTCCCATCTGCCTCTGGGACACGGCTATCACCAGGGGGAGGGCAAGGGCAGAAGCAGGGGAAGAACAGACCCCTCTCTCAGGCTGGGTAATGCCAGGGGAGCCTACATCCAGCCAGGGCAGGTGAAGAAAGCCAGCACAGCCCCAAGAGACTCTTGTGCTCCTGAAGATAGCGGTCTTGCTTGGAGAGGGCTCCCAAAGGCTGCTATCCCAGGGCTCTCTCCCTCTCTGACCACTTCAGCTAGGAGAAGACCTTGTGGCGGCCCAGGGAAGGCAGCCCATGGGGCCCTGTTGCAATCAGGCAGCACCGACCCTGCAGGGTGCTGAGGGCCTGCAGTCCAGGACCCTTTTTCCCCTCTCCCTAGCACCCAGGAGACGCCCAGCACAGCCCCCCTGCCCCTAGGCCTGACTGCTGTGCAGACACAGGGCAGCAAAGGGTGCTGCGGTACCATGCGAGGGGTCAGGTTGATTTGTTTGAAAAGGGGAGTAAAATGTGCAAAAAAATGCCACTTAAAATGACACTGCAATCCCCTGCCTGTGTCCCTGGGGGAGGAGGGGACAGGACCTGGGGGAGAGACTGCCCGCGCCTCCTCCTGCCCACGAGAAATGCCCTCGGCACCCCTCACCCTGCGAGGGGCTGCCTAGCTCATGCCAACCCCGCATCCCTTTCCGGGGGTGATGCCACCCCTGACTACGAGGCCAGGCCGTCACTTTCCCTGTGTAGGGAGAGGTTTCTGTCACTCCCTGCACCTGGCCCACCTGCTGGCGCTGGCATGTCACACCAACGGGATGCTGCAAGGGATTAAGAAAGGGTGGGCACGGGTAGAAGGTGCAACAAAAGCCACCCCCCTCCCTAGGTGGGACTTCAAATACACTGACTAAAGCTTTTTGTTTGTCACCTTCCTGTAAATCTAATAAATTATTAGTGTTTCTCACCAGGAGAACTGGGGACAGGGGGTCCTGCTGAGGAGCCCCCAGAAGTTCCCCTTGTACTCCTCCCCGCAAAGCACCCAGCCTTCCTCCTCCCTGTGGGTCCAGAGCAGCACCGTGGGGGCCGCGGTCCCCCTCCTCCCCAGCCCCTGGGGTTTTGGGGTCTGGGGGCGCCTTAAAGAAGGTAGCTAGTAAA